CGCTGAAATTAAATCAAACCACCAGGAGTCCAGGGGCAGTCGGTTTTCAGGTTCCGTACTGAATTTCGTTGCATTGTCGTTATTTAGCCAGACACTCACCTACTGGTAGAATGTATCTATGGTGTGTAGTTCGTCTCTCTGTCCACCGTTGTTCCGATATTTGCAGGGGCACTCAGTTTAAAGTTAGCGAAAGAGGTGACCGTTTTAAGACCTGCAACTGCGAATGCGAAAAGTCAGCATTTCAAGTCACTCCCACTCCCCGTCGTCTAGCCTCATCAGCTACAGCTCGAATGGCGGAAGCTGGCAGTTGTCGTGAGCGCCGTTGCCCAGCTTTGCAGTTATATGACATGCGGCCGCAGAACGATGTAGGAAAAGTTGCAAGTCGACGACGCGTCAGTCATCGGATCGGTGGCCACTGCGAAGTGGGTGGCGGTGGTTTGATTGATGGCAGCAGCATCGTTCGATGCCATGCCCAAGCTGCTTGTCCAGCAGACCATCGTTACGCGGTTCGACACGGGGGCACCAGTCAGTCGTCCGGCTCCATCGTGAACCGGTCCGATGGAGGCAAAAATCACTTTCGAAAGTTACTCTATGAAAATTTGGAAATTTGGCGTTTGGCGGTTGCTTGACCCACCGGCTTGATCAACGTTGGCGCGACCATGACGCAGTGTTATCAGAGGTCGGGTTCTCCTTTCAAGCAACAGTGTCACTCACTTGTCTCGTATTTCTGTCAAATTACCATTTAATGTCCTTCCCGAAATGACATAGCAAATGTGGGCGATCTCCAGTGTTAATTAATGTGGGAAAATGTGGCCGAAACACGGTGCACATGCGGAACTCCTTTTCTCCCCGGCGGTGTGGCCTTAGAAAACATGAACTCGGCCTTCCGAATGACAGTCGTCTTTGATCGAAAACAAGTGACACTATCAGGGCGGTGGATTCGATCGTTCTGCTGTTGCTCAGAGTCTTTTGACCTGTGTTTGAGGACAGGGAGTTGACTCCATCCAGTGGAGAAGAATGCCATTCCAGGCTGCACTTCCCACGTGTCAGAAACCGATAGTCACGTCGATGACGTAATCAACTTCCGGGTTCAACATTTCTTGGAAGCTAGTAGAAGGTAGCGGGGTGTTAGAAAAAATGGAAATTCCTTATTACTTTGCAAGAGTGACTTAATTTAGATCCTATGTGACAAATTGACCCTTTTATCTGCAACCATGAAAACGAGGGGGAAATCAAGGATTTGCGAAAGGACTGAACAACCGGGCATCGACAATGGCATCATTAAAGACAGTTATCTGGAAGTCAGTTCATGCACTCGTTTTGACTCAGTTACCTCAAATGAACTCAAGCTACAGTACATCGCCTAACTGATCAGACTAAACGCAGTAACGTCAGAATATTTCTGTAATTGAGTGATGGTTACAAGAAGCATCATTTGCACATCTTACATATACCGGAAGAACTATTTCTACATATGAATAAATTATGAAAACTAGTTTCTTGCATTTCAACCTTCTAAAAGTAGACTGGGCGATTATAAAGAAAATGGTTTTTCAGTCGCATATCTTCGTGATCCATTACTAGTAAAAAATAGGAGTTTCTGGCTAGGCATAAAAAAAATATGCAATCGATCAATCATAGACCCGCAACCAAAATTTCTTTATAAATGCCTGCACAACAGATCTGTTTCATATTTGTTCACTGATACGGTCGTAAGGGTGCTTAGGTGGCTATAGCAAACTGAGGTACAGAGAAATGTATTTTTTTCAGTGTTAGGCTAGCCGTCAGAGGGCAGGGATCCGAACTTTGGGCTTTGGGCCATGTTTCAGTCTTAAATAAATCGGTGCCACTTTCGTGAATGCTGACCTTAAACTAAGCACCATAGAAGTCAGCTATCCGTAACATAACCCCTTAAAAGGTAAAGCTACATGGGTTTCACGGCTAATCACACAGTAACGATCGTTAGCTCCGTACTATAAGCTGAATTAAATAAGGGTGTCACAAATGGTGCCCATTTTTCTGAGTGTGAGTGAAACTGACTTCCCAAACGGAGTCCGATTTTCCTTCCCTTTCAGATAAGTAGAAATTGCGGATATGGCAAGATGTGAATAGTGAAATGCATCACGGATCGTTTTTTGCATTAACCCTCCTGCGGTGGATTTTGAGCGATCCGCCTGACCACTCTAAACGCGGAATAGTGGTCATTGGTGCTGCAGTTGGGACTATAGAAACAGTGGATCGCTGCAGTGCAGCCTGCTTCATAGCGATGCATTCAGTCCGCCACGTAGCACGTAATCTGACAGGAAATGAGGTCGAAAATCATACCTGCGAACGATGGATGCCTATAAACGTGTTCTTTCTGCCTAAAGATCCATGGAAAATATCCTATAGAAAATGATCAAGCATAAATGGCAGTAATGTCATGAATCTTATGGAAATTATTAAATAATGACACGAACGATACGAAAGATGTTGCCGAATAGCCAGAGGAAATGCAAATGGTTACCATCGTGCAAATTTGTGATGATGGGCCATAAAGAAGTAGAAAATATATGTACATGTTTTGAGGTTATGAAAATATTAACCTGTGCTAGAGGAAGTGAATTAAGATCGTGTAGTTGATCGAAACATAGAGGCCGTTCCAACTGGCGATTGGTAGTTCATATGTTCGAGACAACGTTTGAAAAATGAGACACTTGTAAAGACGTTTATGTATACAGAATGCAAGAAAACTGGTCAATCGGGTGATTGACCAATAACGACATTTCGTCTCGTCTCTCAGTGGCTTCCTTCATGGTAGTTCGGACTGATTTAGGCAGGTCGTTCTGTCGTCCGCAGCTGTTGTGACGTTTGGAACCAAGGGTGTAATTTTGATCCGTGCTGCTGGCTAAATTGTTTTTTCCCGTAACCGGCTTGATAAGACATTCATCTATGCAAAGTTGGTATCCTTTGTCACGATTGACGTTTTCCAGGATTGGATAATTAAAGCCTCTTCGGTTCGTCCGTTCAGCCAGTTTCTTTCTTTATGGATGCCCTGCATTCTTGTCGCTTTCATCAAACCGTTAAAGGCGTTTATTCTTCAGTAGATAATGCTATGTTCAAGAAGAACATATGCAAAATGGAGTATCAATAATCAAAAGCTTAAGGTGAAGCAGCACCTTGTCAGAATTTCCGGACACTGAAGTCTATTGATTCATTCAGTGATGGGTGCTACATCTGTTTACAATGTAGACGGCATTATCCCATGTTTCCTGTACTTCATTTTTTATATCCTCAGGCCAGTACTCCTTCAAGTCTATACCGACAGTATATCTTTGTTATGGTCTGTTCTTCGGATAACGTATCCTTTTTCCAACGACGTGGCTGTTCCCTCACTTTTCTGTTTGCTTGTTTCATGATCCTGAAAGATGACAGGGAAAAGTCTGCGAAATTGCGTTATGAATGTCTCAGTTAAGACTTTCGGTTTTTGGGTGTTGCAGCCATCGAACTCCACTTATTATTAACCACGTGACAATAACAGCTTTCCTATGCTAACATAAAAGTAGTTATCGAGGCTGGAACAAGTATCTGTCAAAAGTGTTGTTTAAAACCTTTAAGACATAGCATAACGCTAGTCGAAGAGTTAGCTTCAATGACAGTTGCAAGAAGAACTTTTCGTTTAACAATGACATGCTGCTGCTTAGCCATAGTATTCTTCGCATAGGCGTCACCAGAAACGGTTCGTCAAATTTCAATAAAGTCAAATCAAATATTCATCCGTAGTTAAAACATTGCTTGTTCGATTGTCAGAAAAATTAATGAGAGTACACAGCATGACAGCAAGAAAACATATCCACGCTAACCGAGTTGTCCTCGCTATGGGTG